AGAGGCATACAGTTAGGAGACCTCCATAATTTTGTACATATTATGAGTGGGTACAAATCCATTTAAGATCCATTAGTCTTAATGGAAGACAACTTCTGCTTAAGCTCTTTTCTGGAAAAAAACTCAACACATTAAATTGGTTGAATCATTTGGTCAACAATGATTAAAAGCCATCAATTTTTAATATATTGTTAACATTTGCATTCATTCAAACAATCATGGAGAATATGCTTTTCAAATTCCACATTAACTTCTTTTAAAATACCCCCAGATTCTCCAATAAAGGGCACACAGAAAACTTTTTTCAGTCTAACCACCCCAGCTCAGACGCAATCATAAAAAAGGCCTGACCCAACTGCTGACATAATGTACCATTTCCAGATTAATAATAGAAACACAATTTCCAGTTTGCTTCCTGCTGTAGTCGTCCTGATGTCTAATGGGCACAAACACCGATGTGATCTTTGAAAAAATGCCTTGCTTTTGCAGTAGCTGCAGTATATAAGCTGTACCAGGAACAATAACCTTTAGGATGAGTGTTTCATCCCCAAAGAGAACGGGAGGATCATTGGGTTCAAATATCATAAAGTCTTATGTGTCATCAGAAAGAAATACAAATTTTAGATAGGCCTGTCACGATAACTACTTTGGTTGGACAATACATTGTCCCAGAAATAATTGCAAAAAAGTATTATTGCCATTTTAACACCATTTTATTCCACTGATATAATGCAAGTACATCCTTTCAAAGTTCAATTAACTTTTAATTCTTAAAAATATTCAGACATTGGAATTGAAATGGGAAAAAAATATTAAAATATCCTTAAAATCAATAGATAATGGCTTCATCCTCAATATAAAAAGAAAATAGAGATTTTATCACAAAGCATCTTCAAAGCTCGGATATATCGATATAAAATTAAGAGAAATGTTAAATAGCTGTTGCCAATATTCTAGGTCAGTAATTTTTACAGGATATGGGATGTAGCCCTGCATCTTCTTCACACTCAAAAAAAGGAGAAGAAAGGCATGGTGCAGCAGTTCTCAGACTGAGCTGTCGCCTGCAGCTACAGAATTTCTTAACCTCAGAATTCAACCGAGTTAATAACTGGGCAGACTGTTTTGCATTCCAGTAACTGGAGTCAGTTCATCAGTTAAAGCATGACCAATCACAGACATCCGGATCATTTAATTAAATTTAACTAAATACTTTTCCTAGCTGGATCTATAGCCTGTGTTCGATCTAAAGGTTTAAGGTGAGAAAGCCACAAAGCTACTTTGAAAAAAGAATCATCTTTATTGTTTCTTTGTAAAACAAAGTAACAGGACCAGTGTGTAGCATTCAGTGGCATCTACTGGTGAGGTTTCAGACTGCAACTAACTGAACACCACACTCCACCTGGAAATGAGAACGGGCTCTGCAGTGTGTAGGAAAAACTACAGTGGCTGCGAAACCAAAGGCCCTATCTAGAGCCAGGGTCTGTCCCTTCTGAGCTACTGTAGAAACATGGCGGTTCAATAGTCTCCATGGAAGGTGACCAGTGTCGTCTATAGATATAAACAGCTCATTGTAATGCAACAAAAAACAATTCCTTTACTCAGGTGATAATACACTAATGAAAACATACCCTGAATATTATATTCCATTTCTGTCACAAGATCCTCCTAAATGTTACACAGGGGAACTTTAAAGTTTTTCCTTTATATTCATTGTTTCTTATCCAAATTCATTTAGTATTCTTAATATAAAAAGGAAAAGGCTCTATTGGGAAACTTTTCCTCTCTGCTTCACAGGCACGAATTAACAGTTTACAGCACATAAGCTCCATCGACAGTCAATAAGCACCACTGCCCTATGCAGTAAATGTAATCATACTGAACCAACGTTTTGGAATTTCAATGTTTTCTGAATAAATTTGTTATAAAATGTGATCTGATCTTCATCTAAGTCAAGGGTATTAACAAATAAAATGTGTCTAAAATAATAGCACATAACACTTTCATGTCTTTATTGAGAACAACCAAAAAAAAAACTCACAGTGCTTATGGAAAAAGTCTGTGAACCCTTGAGTTAATGACCTAGAAAAAGCTAATTGGAGTCAGGTTTTAGCACATCTGGAGTCTCATTAAGATAATAAGTTTGGAGGTGTGGACTACAGCTACTTTGACTGATAAAAACACCTCAAACTTTTGGAGTTTGCTCTGCACAAGAAGAACATGCTTATGTGAGCCATGCCTCGCCAATAAGAGCTTTCAGAGGATCTACGATCAAGAATTGTTGATTTACATAAAGCTGGCAATGGTTACAAAGTTATTTCAAAGACTTTAGAAATTCACCAGTCTACAGTTAGGCAAACAATCTACAAATGGAGACACTTTGGGACCATTGCTACTCTACCAAGAAGTGGGCGCCCAGTCAAAATTACGCCAAGAGCACAACAAAGACTCATCAATGAGGTAAAGAAATAACCCCGAATGACAGCCAAAGATTTGAAGGCATCATTGGAACTTACTAACATCTCTGTTCATGGGTCTACAATACGTAAAACACTGAACAAGCAGGGTATCCACGGCAGGAGGACACCACGAAGGAAGACACTGCTTACTAAAAAGAACATTGCTGCACGCCTGAAGTTTGCAAAAGAGCACATTGACACTCCACAGCGGTATTGGCAAAACGTTTTGTGGACTGATGAAACTAAGATTGAACTATTTAGAAAAAACACAAAGCACTACATCTGGAGTAGAAAGGGCACGGCATATCATCATGAAAACATCATCCCAACTGTAAAGTATGGTGGAGGAAACATCATGATTTGGGCCTGCTTTGCTGCATCAGGGCCTGGCCAGCTTGGAATCATTTAGGGGAAGATGAATTCCCAAGTATGAGACAATTCTTCAGGATAATGTGAGAATGCCTGTACGTCATCTGAAACTGACCCAAAACACTGGAGCAAGTCCACAACAGAATGGCTTCAGAAAAACAAAATCCGCCTTTTGGAGTGGCCAAGTCAGAGCCCAGACCTCAACCCAATAGAGATGCTATGGATTGAGTTGAAGAGGGCCATACACATGAGACGTCCAAACAATATGACAGAGCTAAAGCAGTTCTGCCAGGAAGAATGGGCTAAAACTCCTCCTCAACGATGTGCAGGTCTGATCCACAGCTACAGGAAGCGCCTGGTTGAGGTTATTGCTGCCAGGGGGGAGGTCAGTTATTAATTCTAAGGGTTCACTTACTTTTTCCACTGCCATTTTGAATGTTGAATGCATGTGTTCAATAAAGTGTTATTATTTTTAGACACATTATGTTTGTCAATACACTTGATTTAGATGAAGATCAGATCACATTTTATAACAAATTTATTCAGAAAACCATGAAATTCCAAAAGGTTCACATACTTTTTCTTGCCACTGTATAGTAGCTTGAAAATCGCATACAGTACTAAATTTACTTTAAAGTGCAGGATACTGCATACTGTTAGCGTTTGTGTCATTGTAAGGGGAGAATAAAAGTACTTTAGTGGTAACCAATGCAACTTTGCAATGAGATAAATAACCCTTATATAAAAGAGAAAAAAAAATAATTACCACTGGCCAACATGTGGCCTCACTTCAAACATGGCTTGTCACATGTCCAATGTGAACAAGCCACAAAGCTCTTTCTTCAGAATAATCACCTGCTGAGAGGCACTTGACAGATCTCAAGGATCCCCTTTGCACATTCCCCCCTGCTAAAGCATTAGCAGAATCAGACTCCATTAAAGAGTATTATCCAAGCAGGAGGTGCACAGCTCTCAGACATTAGTAATCACGTCACCTGCCTTGCAAGGATGGCAAAAAAAAAGAAAATGCAGGAAGTAGACTGACAGCAAATGTAAGGTTTGAATATCCGAATAGATGGCAAGCCGGGAGAGTAAAGAAGCTGCAGCATTAAAGGATGTGTTGCTCTGATGGTTTTAATGCGATTTATAGAGCACAGCGTACATTTTATCTGCCATTTCAACTCATACCTCTAAACCATCTCATTCATACATAACGGTGCAGGGATATCCAAGCGCTGCTAACTGATCCATACGTTGTAACACAAGTCTAGATCACATGCCCAAACTGCGCACAGGCACAGGATGGCAGTCAAAACAGCACTACAAAATACAATGAGGCCACAAAAACCTTTACGAGCAAATCCTTGCAGCCCGACCACACAAATACCCATAATGCTCATTGTATAAGTAGATGTTGCTGTATAACAGTTGACTGCTAACCTTGGTCAATACACCATGCAACCGGTTACAAATAAAAGCCTAACAGTGGTTTGTATAGTGACTTTTATTGCGGAGCAAGTGGGTAGTAAGTGCTAGTAATGTAATACTTCATTACAGCTCTATCGGCACTGCGAAAGAGAGCCGATCAGAAGGCTCTTATCAGTTAAAGTTCTTTATGCAGGAGCTTTGAATCCACAGACACAGACACACACAGACACACACAGACACACACAGACACACAGAGACACACAGACACAGACACACAGACAGACACACTTCTGTCACATCTCCAGTGATCCTAATCTGGATCACTGGAAACACAGAGTCCTCCGAAAATCAAGGTGTTTATCGTGACATCGACAAAGCTTGTTTGATTGTGGTTACTGGCACAGTTTGGCCCTCCAGTGTAAAGCAATAACATAGCGGGTGGATGCACTTCTCCCTTGTTGTGCGGCTGCACCCTGGAAAAACAGTCTCTGCTGAGACAAGAATATTCGAATTCCTTGTTTGCTGTATAGACGGTCTCTGGTTTTTGCTCATAGTATTTCTTACAGACCGCCATGTAATCTCTGTCACTGTGGGCAAATTACACAAACAAATCTGCATGTTGCAGACTCACTAACATAATAGATTTCCAACCTTTCTGGACATTCCTAGTCCCACTCTCTGTGAGCCAGTTTCTTTTTGTGAGGGCAAAACAACACTCGGTTGAAGGTAGCAGTAATGGTTCCTTACCTCTTTGTCCATGCTCTCTAGATCCTCCTTGCACAATGTGTACAGAGGCATACTTTCCGACATGCTCGGCTGTCGTTTCCGACGAGACGGCCCTGGCTGCTCGTCGTCTTGGCTGGACCCTGCCGCGTCATCTTGCTGACACTTTGAAGTTCCCCTGTGGTACAATAACAGACAAATAAGCATAAAACACTATGAATAGGTGGACTAGTTAGTTAGCTAAATGGACAGATAGAGGAAGGTTTCAGATTTTTACTGTGCTCTTTCTATACTATCAATATCATTAGTAGCTTAAAAAAAAACCTGTTTTGACTTGGTCTTGTAAAAATTGTCAATTTTACTCTTGTCTTGATTTATTTCTACCAGGGTTGGGCGATTGGAAAAATCACCAGTTGTTTTTTCTTGGTCGATTTTTGTCATTTTATCTTTCTAATTTAATGGTCTGCCTCTTAAGGAGAGCCGCTCAGTGACAGACGTTCAGCGGCAGAGTACAGACACTCAGCCAAAGAATGAGTGAGAGGGAAAACAGCTGCAGAGCCGGTGTAGTTTACGTAGTTTATTGTCTTTATTAAAGCTGTTAGAGCTTGTTGCACGCAGTGAACTTGTCACTCATCTTATGTGGTAATTTAGGGGTTCGGGCCCTTCAAGGTTCCTAAGTCTGGTTTTTATGTCATTTTTATGTCAGTTGCCTTATTTCTTTGTGACATTCTGCTCTTGAAAGGTGCTTTGTTAATGAAGTTAATTACTTACTTAGTATCTAGTTTTTTTACAAATCATATCAAAATGTGGCTGAAATTGTATGGGGGCTATTTTGTGCCACTAAATCACATCAACTGACAAATTCAATTGATCAACCTGACAAATGTATTATTAACTGAGCAAGTTAAGGCAAGGAACAGTAATGTACAAAAAAGAAGTACTGAGCTGTTATCTGAGTGACCTCTTTGTTTGTTCTACTTTAAAATGCATTCTTGTCTTACTGTTATCTTTATAGGACTTGCCAGAGAGCTGCATTCATTTGTTAACACCATACACAATAAGCACTTTTTTTTTTACAACAAAGGCAATTTGTGGATGCAGAGTGCAGGGTGAAAGAGCAAGGTTGAGGCTGGAAACAAACGATGAGAAGTGCAAAGGCTTTCTCTCTATAACGAGGGCCCTTTAGATGTAAATCTTATGCAAGTGGGAAGAGGAAGTCTCCATACTTCCACTTGCCAGTGCTTAATTGAACAGATCCTCTTTGATGATTAAATCCAAGTTCATGCAACTCTGAGAAAACTCCACAGTGCCTCTAATCCATGTATTATGTGGGCCAATTTTATGCTTGTGATTATTAATTAGTATTAGTATCATCAAAGACATTTCAAAACATTTTAATGCGCTGTGACTGTCCAGTAGAAAGATGGCTAAAGTTAGATTTTATTCCTGTCGAGTTATTTGAAAAACAGTTGGGCCACGGCCTCTCTGTGACACCACAATGACAAACAAATACACATAGACACACGCTCCATTAGCACCTGACTGACAGATGAATGACAAATGGAGCCGAAGATCCCCGAGGTGACTTTGAGGAAGCTTTTGTTGCACCTCTCACAGCATTTTGGTCAAATTGTAGGTGGAAATTAAATTATATTACACTTCTGAAGAGCCAAACGACTCAACATGCAGATAAAAATAAAAATAAAAATAGGTTGGAGGCTAGTCTGGGAACTCCACTACACTCCACACACTCTGTAGTTGACAGGTATTCCCCGCCACCAAATGCTGTAAACAATCCATACAATAAAAGCTTTGTTGGGGTTTTATTGTGCCTCAGTTGATAGCTGAAGATGCTGAATTTCTCCACCGAGGGTAATTCCTTTCAATTCAAAGTAGTGTAGCACTACACCAACAGCTGTTTTAGTTTACAGAGAAGGGAGGGGAGGACATAAGGCCCAGAGGACACATCCATACATGTACATGACATAAGTTTTTTTTTTTTTTTTTTTACATGTTATAGTTCTTTAGTAGCCTTCAATGATTTTTTCTGGGTTGGCCTTTACTAGGTATGGAGGATCAAATAAAAAGCTTGACTTATACTATGGACTACAAATAAGGATATCTTGGGGTACTTTCACAACCCAGCTGTTTGGTTCAGTTAAAACCAATCCTGGTGCAGCTGCCCATTTAGTTTGGTTCATTTGGGTTGGTTTGAAAGCTGTCTATCAAACTACTAAGACCGCCTGGAAAGGTGGCGTAATCTCATAAAACTAATAATGCTTATAATCAGTTATTGTTCAGTAAGCGTGATGGATGACTGCGTGATGGATGACTTGCTGTCAGTCACCAGAGTTTGATATATATATATATGGATATTTTCATGACCGACCATTATGTGTATACAAAACGACTATGTATTATAATAAATTAACCACAATAATTCCCAGCCACATTTACATGGAGTAGGACTGGCAAATAAAACAATATATTTTATAGATTTTGTATACATTTGTAATATATAGCCTAAAGTTGTTAAGATAAAAGCATTGTTACTGATGTTCTGATATTGTTCTCAACCATTTGACCCAGTCCTAGCATACAGTGTTCCATAAAATATCTCATCTGTCTGCTGAAGCAGCTGATGAAGTGCACTCATGTTGTTAACATTTTAAATCCACTGTGACTGAGTAGAGAATCCCTCTTATTTAGTTAAAAGTGTATCCAGGTTGTTTTAAAAAATGTGCAACAGTAGAGAAGAAATATTATCAATATCATACTTCCAAACTAAAGTAACAGACACAGTGTCTAGTTTTATTTCTCTTCTTTGCATCAATATTTTATAATTATACCGCACCGCTCTAATTCTGTTGTTACCTGAGACAAGACTGCTCTCTTTGATCAGAGAGCAACAAGGACCCTGAAGCCTGGAGGTAGGGGGGTGGCCGTGACACCTGAGGGCCCCTGCGGATCAGCTTCCCTGTGACGGGGTCGTAGGTCCGAACCTCAGGGGCTGGCGGCGCAGGTCTGTGGTGGATGGCAGCTGTGTGGAACATTGGCTTCTGCAGAGAGCCCAGATTGTCAAGGAACGCTGCAGGACTGTTGCTCCTTCAACAGACAAGAAAAAGACCTCAGATATGGAATCATCTTCAGAAAAGATTTTGATGTATTGCAGTCATACATTAGCAACATCTGTAGTATTTTTTCAGTAAGCAGTTCGCATCTACTAGGTTTGAGATGGCCTGTGAGACGATGGCTCATTTTACCTTGGGGTCTTGGAATAATCCTCCTTTAGTGGGTAAAGCTGCTCCTCCACTCTCTCCCAGCGCTCCAGACAGCTCCACAGCCAGTCGGGGTTGACAATGTGGAGGTGCTTGCAGCCTTGTGCCTGACGAACCTTCTCGGTGCCTAGGTGACCGGAGTGAGAGGAGAAAAAAAAGGTGAAAATGAGAACATGTTTTGACCTTATAATCAAAAGCTATTACCAAATGCACTCTGAGTCAGCTGAATAATTGAGATCAATGATCAGACTGTCTTTCCTGGAAGTGAAATCCATTACTTGGTCAATATTATTAGGAAGATAAAAAGAGAGAATTTTTTTTTTGGAATCACTATCATTTCGCTTTTCCACCAACTCAATAGTCTTAGAAAGCCAATGTTTTGTTTGGTTAAATCCACAGAGAGTAGCATTTCTTCTTGAATACGACTTATTGATGTTTGACACAAAGAAACTCTAGACGTTAATTAATGCTGGCCCACACACTAGAGGATAATTGTGCAGATTTTGAGTCAGATTCACCCCCCCCGACAATCGCAGGGTTGTTCCTGATTGGAGGGTGGTCTGAAGAGATTATCTGCTTGGATGACAACACGCCCGTATTTTTTTATTTCAATTTAGCTTGTTTGGCAAGTATTGTTTCAGTTTTTATTTTTAAGTTTTTAAAAAACTTTTTTCCACACCTAGTTTTAATTTTTAGTTTGGTTTTAGTTAACTATATAAACACACGTGCTGTTATTGTGTTGTGTTGCTTGCCGTAAAGTGGCAAACTGATGAAAGGGGTGTTTATTATAGTATTTTTAATTAACTTAGACAGCAGAGTTAATGTCCGCACAACAATAAATTGATCTCAGTTTTCCATTATGACTTAAATAAAAATAAACATACATTTGAACCTTGATGCTCTCCATGATACAGAGCAACAAGGCTAAGGGCCTACAGCCATGCTAGCGGCTCTGTGTAACTGTATTTTGGTTAACATATGCTAGTAGACAGAATACACAAGTACAGAATATAATGGCAATCCATCTATCTGTTGTGAAATTTCAGCCTAGTGTTACACAGACAGACCAACGTCACCATCATCAATCTAACTGTGTATTAAAAACAGAATGCGTGTCCATCTAAGGATTGGTGTAGAGGTTGGGATAAAGAGGGCAAGGTGGAGTTGAAAGGGGAGGGATTTGTGTGCGGCTTTTGGGTTACAGAAAGAGAAAGACACTAAACAGTAACTTTTGGGCTGCCATCTCTAATAATTCTATACTTAAAAAGTTAAAACGCGTCCGCAAGAAAGCAAGTAAACAAGGCATGCTGCTGAAAAAGCCTTGCTATATGTGTAACCACTCACTGAACGATCACCATGTGAAAGATAATAGAGAGGAATACATAAACCTTTTTGTGAGATGGACAAGGTGTACCTGTATTTTCAGCAGCTCTTTCCAGACTAAGTGGCATGCCGTTCATATTGCCCTGATTCCATCTTTGGCTGATTTTTCTCTCCTTCTGATGTACAAGATGAGTGAAGTGCTGCTCTGCGCCTGGGTGGCTCCCAAGGCAACAGTGCTACTTCCTGTGCTTATTCTCAGAAGGTAAACTGGATTGGTAGCCACACAGGCTTGAATCCACTCTCTGGTGCTCTTCAGATAGAAAAGCATTTCCTAAGCGGAGTAGGAGCTGTATTGTTTGTATCTCTTGAACCACCAGATAATGTACGAAACACTCAGAGTAAAACAGGACATTGTGCAACCAGAAGGTTTACACATGACGTGTTGGGTCCATTAAGGCTGTACATTATTTTCAGCTTCAGAATAATCAGCTTACAAGTGAAAAACCCAGCTCCAAATAACATATTTTTAACCAGCACAACAAGACCTTAACATCTGGGGGGCGGGGAAACAAACACAGCCTCCAGCATTCACATGGCTCTCTACCGTCAGAATGCAGTGAACTGTGTTTCTGTCAATCAAGTGGGCCTAATTACAGAGAAGGAGCTGTCTCACGGAACTATATGGAAATCAATTTTAAGTAATAAAGCTGCATTAATCAATTTCTGGCCACTAGTTCACATCAGAGATTCAAAACAAGCTGACAAGTAAGGAACACAGAGGTCCAGATCCACAACTGCTGCACCTTGCAAAAATATGATCACAGCTTTACATGCAAAAACTGCCAACCGTCTTCACATCAAGGACCCAAGTTGTTGCTTACGGCACAATCTCAGCTTAATTGTACAAGTACCAAAGCTCTAAAAAACATGATTTATAATCAGATTTTCAACCCCCTCCCGCTGCACAGCTGAAACAACGGTTGCTCTCCCCCTCCTGTACAGTCTACTGACAATCGCAGTGCTCTGCAGAGAAACATACATGGAGACAGAGAGAGACATTCTATGGTATTACGTGGATATTTTCGACTGGCTACATCATTAACAACAATGTGTGCCCACGATATTTTTCTTTTTGCCATGCCATCTAGTATTGTTTTTATACTAGTATGGTATCAAAGTTTAAAATTCTGAGTTTGTATGCCTCACCGTTTATTGTTCACTCTCTTTATATCCAACCGTAGCTGTATTAAGTTACTGCTGATGCAACCGAAACATTTCCTACTGCTGCTGCGGCTTCAGATGTGGCGGAATTTAACCAAGGTCTCTACAGTGGTACACTCACGCATCCTTATTGTCATATGTTAACCAGAGCTCATCGCGCTGGCTTAAACCTTCCCGGAATGGCTGACCTCTGAGATGCACTAATTGTGATAACAGTGTATTCAGTCTCAATTATCTCTGCTCTGCCAAAATTTTGACATGGCTCAGACACACAAATCTGCCAATATGTCAGTACGTCTGGCATTTAAACAAGCCTTGCATGACCCTTCTTGAATTCTAGCCTCATTAGCAGATTATTTGCATCAGTTACGAATGGGTCACTCCTATGGCTACTAAATACCTCAACTATATTCAGAAAAGGGAACCAAATTAAAATCAGAAAAAGTGCCTGTGGTGACTCTTAATATCACTTTCAATCCTGTGTCAGTAAGGCTCTAAAACGGACTTGTGTTCAAAAATGTTTGAGAATAATTGCCTGAAACTTTTAGAAAGATCGATTCATTGACATTGATAATGCTACTGCTGTATGCTTGGTCAACAGCATACATACATTTCTACATACCAGCTCTTGCTGCGATGAGATGCGTTGTCCGACTTGGATCTTGGGAACTGAGAAACAGAGTCTTGCCAATCTTGGCCCCCAGTGCTTTGGCATGGTAGTACTCACGGGTCCTCTCCATGGGGTAGTTGGTCGGGTACAGGCCGCTGAACACTATCATCGTGCCCTCCAGTGTCTTGCTTTTCAGCTCTGGGACAATCTTACGGATGTCCGGTGTTTCGGAGGCCTCTTTTCTCAGGTAGGCCTCGTAACGTGCGTAGAACTCTGCGTGGATCCTTTCCAGCACTTCCTCCAGGTAGATCAGGTGATCGTCCTGGTCGTTATCAGCTTCTTCTTCCTCCTCCTCCTCATCCTCCATACTCTGGTCCAGCAGCTCCTCCCCCATGGTGACCCCAGACTGTTCACTATTCTGGGACTCTGTTTCTGGCTCTCTCCTATCTGAGCATCCATTTCCCAGCTCGGGGTCTGGGAGAAGAACTCCTGAGGGTTCTGCTGCGTCAGTGATGGTTTCTCCTTCACTCCGACCTTTGCTGTCCCCTTCTTTCGACCCATTACCATCACCAGGCTCTTGCGTGACTCCTTCCTGCCCAGATTTCTTTGCCAGGCAAGACTTGCCTTCACTATCACTCTCTGATGAGGGAGGCTTTTCTGTAATGGAGTCATTATCACTGTCACTCGAAAGGTCAAAATCCAAGTTATTGGACTCATGGCTCGGTGCTGATGAGTTTGCACTGTCCTGTGTCTCTCGTGTCACCACTGTCCTGTTGCTGTCATCTTCCTTAACGTTTGTTCTGTCATCCACCTGAGCTTCCCTCGACCCCGTCCCAGACTGGGCCTCAGTCTCTGACCCTTTACCTTGTCCTGATTCATCCTCAACAACCCCAGTGGGATGTGTCCGTTCATTTGTTGGTACTCCCTGAGAAGACTGAGATGCTGTGGACTCTTCCTTTCCGGAAATGTTGAGGTCTTTCACCCTTTTCCTTGGGCCATTGTTTTGCTCATCGGCACCAAGCGTCCCTACTGGTTCTGTGCTGTCTGCTGATCGACTTGACGGGCCTCCTGCTGGAACAAGACAGGGCGTTCACACAGTATTAAAGGACACAGGAATCAGAATCAATAGGTGAGGTAACTGTAAGAACAGCAACAGATTAAAGATTCTACTGTCAATCAAGCATCCTTCTTACTTTCTAGCTTTTATAGGACTTCATTTTCATTTCATGTTCACTTTAATTTAAAAATGTCTTCTCCCTTTTTTGGAACAACTTGGTCGCTGCATGGTCGCAATCATTGCCAGTTCTTTTTCAAAAGTCTGCTTTTATTTCAAAATTGAGTTTTTCCCAATAACGCTTGCATGTCCTGCCACTTTTTATTTCAGAATGTCAGTGACAGTGGTGTTCACACTGGCATCTCACCTCTACCACAATTATCAAGTTAGCACCTTTTCGCTAGTTGAAGAGAGGCAGGGGATACGTGATTGGCTGAAAGATGAGAGGGCACTTTTCACCTCTCATGAAAAGTGACATTATGACATAAAAAGGTGAGTTAAGTTTGAATAATTTCTTCAGCCATTTCGCAAATTTTTGTGCACATTATTCAAACAATTATGTATTTCATTCATTTATAATATTTTTTCTTTCATTTCATATTGAACATTTTGGAGTTCCATAGATTAATGAAATGAAAACCTAACTGGAAACTTGGTTAGGGTCAGTGTTTGATAATGATCTTTGTACACAAAAATAGTTGGAGCATATAAAGAAATATTAAGTTTTACACTTTTCCTTTACCTCTACCCAGGTAAAATACATTTCTTATAAGCATACGTTTATTTTTATCTCAGCACTAGTTTAATGTAACATCCAACCACATTCCCTAATGACCACAGCTAACTTTCTTTTCAAAACTTACTGACCAGTGCACACAATGTTACTGCTAGGATCACTGTTGTAACTGTAGCTTAAGCATTTTAGACGGCAAGCTGACACCGACAAAGTAAGTTTAAAAAAGGAAAGAGAAAACTTTTTCACTGCATCCACCAGTTTTAAATTTCACACACCATTTGACACAATATAACCTCACTAGCAGTGATGGTTATAGCCCTTTTCACCATGTACTTAGCATTAATGCATTCTGGAAGGTCTCTGACCCTGTGATTATAAACCTCTTAGCAGTAACCTTCGTAACATTTCACACTAGTATGTTCTACCCAGGGAATAACCCAGATTTTGGTTCATGAAGAACTTCTCTGGCTGCCACTGTTGCCAACCTCTTCCTCTAAAGGTAAAATCAGAGTCCTCTGGGTACACTGAGTCACTCCAGTGCAAGTGATTATTTGAGCATGAAATAAAATCAAGTGATAACCTGTCAACAACATAGAATAATCAACAAACCAGTGGTACTGATGCTGAGACTGTCAAACTTGTTTTTTGGAGGCAAGGTATGGTGCCATTTTTGAATGAGATAGAAATACTCTGCATAAAATACACCTCAGTGATGTTTGCTTATTCAAAGAAGCGCACTGTATCGCTTGGAACCACAGGGCTGGATGGACAGGAGAGCGCAGCTATATAATATGAGGAGGCAGGGCACGATAGGGCAGGCACGGGCCAGTGGACACCAGCCTTCAGAATACAAATGCGGCAAATTAGACTGTCAAACTTTTGTTTTACAGTGTTTTATAATTTCTCCCCCAAAAAAAGGACTCTTTCACAACCTACAGGACAGTGATTGTGACTTATGAAAACAGTCTATGGTAGTCATTTGCTCCCTCTGTCAAAAGCATATTGGGACACACACACACACACACACACACACACACACACACACACACACACACACACACACACACACACACACACACACACACACACACACACACACACACACACACACACACACACACACACACACACACACACACACACACACACGTTTTTAAGCCTGCTTAAAGCTGCACTAATCAATATCTGTATATCAACAATGGGTCAGATGACTATGTGTAATGTGACAGGGATTGCTCACAGAGATGAACCCACAAATGATGATTGCCTGGCTCTGCACATTTCCTCAGTTCTACAAGCCTTTTAGTGACTTTTGGCTCATTGTTTTGTTTTTTTACAGCCCTCAACTATCACTGTTTTGGTTTGCACAAGGTATTATATGTCGTATAGTATTGTGTTTACAGCTTCCTGTGCTGCCCCAATTTGTCCAAAACAACAACAAAAAAATCAATAATGCAAATTCTTTTGAGTCAAGTTGTTGAATAATGCTTGACTTTCCAACTTAGAACAATTGAGTTTTGTCTCAACCACTACCAAAACCAATTCTTCTTTCAAAATGTATACTCTATATACTATATTCTATATCATTTCAAAACTCAACGATTTGAATAAATCAACCAGTATCTGTATTTCATAATGTATTTGTTTTAGAAATGAAACTGTAACTGTAGATAGTACTCAGAAAAAAACAACATTAGCTGCCAGCAAAAAAAACCTTTCTGTGAATGTGTATGTCTGCAACAGGTTTACTTGCAAAGCAGCAAGAGAGTTCCCTGAGGAAAAGAATCTCATATACCGAGACTCTGTTATTTGCATTTGACCCAATCTGCTTTAGGCAAATTGAAGCTTGTATTTTAACTACATAAACTCTCTATTCTATCTCTGTATTTATAAGGGCCATTGCTGAGCCTGGCAGCTGTTGAAACATCGGTACAACCAGGAGTTATCACTAATTGATGTGACAGCCTGAGTGTGGGTGTAAATGAGGGGGGTCCTGCAACAGTCCCCAAGGAGACACACTGGCTGGCTCCAAGCAGCTTGTTTCCTGCTATGATAATGAAGAGAATAACACTGTTTTTTTGAGAGGATTCCCTTTAACCCTTTAGATCAACACAGGGGGACATACAGACGGTCTATCCTTGCTCACTAACAGATCTCTTTGATTCATGATGAGGTTTATGAATAGAGGGATGTAGGCTCATCATGTGAACTCAGGATGCTGTCTGCACATGAATGCAGTGCTGATGAGTATTTATTGTCCGGGTCCACTCTCTCTATAATAAAGTATATAACCAAGGGACCTAATAAAGTAATCATTTACCCAATATACACCAAGTCTGTTGGATTATTTTGGATTTCTCTTTGCAGGTGAGTATGACAGGAAAGTATAATGGGAATTTTACCAGTATAGGTCTTTTTCCAATGGGCATAACGCGAATAGTAATAAACAGATTACATTACCTTAAGTAGTGAGACAACCATTTGCAGGGTTGCTGCACACTTCATGAAATCAAACTGAATGCTTTTGAAGACCTTTTTTGACTTCTGAAGATTTTTTTCCAATATTTATACATAAGAATGTATGCAAAGTAATATAATAATCAAAATGACAGTAAACTAAATATCTTTGGGTTGTGAAGAAACATGACATTTGAGCACGTCACTTTGGGCTCTGGGAAACAGTGACCAACGCTTTTTACAATGTCCCAACATTTTATGGACCAAACAACTGATAGATCAATCGAGAATTTAAATAATTTAGTTGCAGCCCTACCTGACGCGTCACCAATGAAAACTCCATAAAGTGCATTGAATTGTAAAACAGTTGGCACAAAATTAGTCCTCAATTTACTTAGGGGCACAGAGTTTACTGTACTGGATCTTACTGACACTGAACTCTGACACCATTTCAAACTATGTAACGGACCGTGTAACAGTCAGCATTAACGCTACGAAGCAGCCCAAGATCAGAGAATCCACGGGACTGACTGGCTTGTTAGCTTCAGCCAAAAGTGGCTCTCGCAGGGGGAATGTGCAGAGTACTGGAAACTACTCGCTGGACAGTGCATTCTTGGTCTTCCATTCGACCCACAGTGTTACATAAACTGTCAGCAACTTTGTCGTCAACTTGTTATCAGAGATGAGTTGGCACCGTACCTTTCTTTGCCATCTGAGCTTCCCGTGATCCAGGGGGAGCGTTGATGTCCCCTGTACCCTGGAAGTAGATGTATTTCTTCACAGTGATGAGGTTGGGCGCAAACTTCCACACATCCTCCCGGTCATCGATTATGCAGACCATCGAGTCACCACAGGGGAAGAGGTTCCTGTCAGGAGAATCATGCACAAGACAGACACTAGCTAAAAATGCTCCCAACTTTTCCTGATAAACACTGTGAGGCCATTATTTATCTCTCTTTGGCTGTAGCGATGTTGCAGTGGTAGATCAAAATAAGGGGCATTTCAATGTCTTGCATCATCTGGCCAATTCTTTCATTTGCAAGGAGACAGTCACAGACAACCGTTCATTCAGGTGACATTGAGAGAGAACAATAGATCTCTACTATTTGAGCTAGTGTACAGTCACTGACAATACAGACAGCCCATGGTACAAATGGTTACCCAGGCTAAGAAAAGCAGAGTAAAATAATGCCTATAGAGTGGAAAGGTGCAACGATTGATTTAATTGTCATCTTTAGCAGAAGGCACTTCCCACCTAAGATTCCCCGTCTTGGAGTAAGGATCGATGCATTCATCTCTTGAAAGGATCCGATGAGAGAAAAGCTTCTTTTCAGGATCCAGAAAGCCTTAAAAAAGGAAGAGAAAAGGGTAAAAAAATAAAAAAATATACACATTTAAATGTAGATCATAAACTTGTAGATGTTTCACATTTATTTGAAACATTAACAAAACTATTCTCTTATAAAGATGACCCTTTCTCACATTTTAAGACATTTTCACTTCTACAGTATATTCCCACAGAATCAAGTGCTGAAAACCTAACTTTCTCAGTCTTTCTTACTACGTTTGTAAAGAAATACAGAGTTTGATGAAACCTCAGACAAAGACAGCCACAACCGAAAATGTCAATAGCTTGAGCATTGCTCTGAAACATGCTGACCTTCTTGCATCAGGGCCAGTAGTAAAATCTAATTCAAAATGCATTAAACATTAATCACATGGAGGCACTACAGTACTGGACTGGGGCTGCTTATATTATATACAGTGTGATGAAGGATTGCAGCCTGCATACCAAAAGGACAGCATATAAACACACTACCTACACTTCAATATAATTCAACCTTGAATCATAAACTGATATATTTTCACACAGAAGAAAACCAACAGCAGTCCAGCCAAATGCTGCTGAAACTAGGCTGATAATGGAAGCATTGTCTAGGACACCTGTAACCAGGCACAATATTAATGCAAAACATTAACTGGCCTAACATGTGTTTGACAATCTAGCAGCACTACTCCTTGCAAATGACACATGGAGACATTAGATGCACAACAGTGAACCAACGTAACATCGGCTGGAACAGAAACATGAGCACACACTTCCCTCTTATGGACACAAACAGGCAGTACAAGCAGAAGCTACAATTTAGAGTTAGAGTTTCCCTAAACTGTCAAAATCTATATAGTTTATAGGCTGTTGCATTTTAATATCAACAACACTATGTGGATTAATGAAAGCAGTGCTTATAATGTGGGGAAAGTGCTGTTAAGTGTAAAACTGAGTTCATTACCAGCAATTGTGTGTGCATAAAGGCGGCTCCCGAATGTGAAGACATGTAACTCATAGAGTTTGGCAATTTTCTCCAGGAATTCCTTGCAGTGTGGGCGTAGTCGTGTGTGGAGCATAGGCTCTCCTCGCCCGAGCTGGAAGTGGAAAATGCCCTGGAGGAAATTACAAGAGTGTTAACTATGGTACAGTTAGTTAAAAACCACAGATATAGGGCTTAATGTCTGCTCTTAAAGTACATTTTTGAACAAGAGCTTCAGTTTAACAACAGTGAAAGGCTGAAAACGATCAACGCAAAGTATTTTGATGAAATTACTATTGGATTTAGTTTCTAGTGGTAAATGGAGGGTAACCCTGACCTAAAAGTGTGAAAATTACAGCATGTGCTGCAAAATCCACATCCTGTATCAGATAAACCCAAACAGCTCTATTATGCTGGAGCTGTAATAGTTACTGCGAATGGCCACTCGAAGGCGGGGTGGAAAGCCAACTGTCATAAAGAGAGGAGAGATGTGATACTCGTTTAAATATGAGAGAATAACGCACACTTTCAGACAGACTCTCCTGGAAGGCGTTCATAGTGTTGCACCCCGTCGCTCACATAAAAAGTGGCAGAAATACAGTTGTTGGCTCCTTTCTCACCTCCACACAGTTCACTCAGACACAGCCTCAATCTAACACAGAAGTGTGTGTGTGAGGAGGGGGTTTCTGAAGCTATCTGACCATCCAACAAAAAGTTCTGATGAAGCACACTAGCACAGAGTCCTGCACCAAGTCGAGTACCTGCCGTGTAACCCGCAAAAAAGTTGTTGATGACTGCATGTTAGACTGCTGTCAGGCTCACACAAGTGCATACTATTAAACTCATGAAGCTCGTAAATTAAATGTGACCCCTTAGAGGTTTTGACCACTCATAGCGCTACAGAGCATGATACTGGTTTTCAGACAGGACTTTGATCAGTGTGGCCACACATGTCACTACGAGGCCTCAGATCTGTGCTGCTCGAGGTTAAGCATTTAGTGTAGAATATAAAGTTACATGAGGTTGCCCCTCCATATCAGTGGTATATAGGAGTGATGTGATGGAATAATACCTTATTGGACATACGCTGGCAGTGCTGTTCAGTGGTGTGGATCAGTGTCTGGTCCAGATCCACCATCAGGACCAGCTTTTTGTTCCGGTGAAGTCTCTGCTGGTCCTCTCTGCCCAGCTGTTCTGCTTGCTGTTGGAGAGAATAAACATAATGAATGGACAATGAGAAATCTTGAGCAACGACTACTTCATGTTTCTTAATGACCACTGTGCTTTTTACATATAATTATTTATTAAAAATTAAATAAAGCATTTATTACCAGAATTTAACTAGTCAAGCGATGCAACTAAACAAATACTTTCCAGTATTTGATGACACATCTGCTGCATATTTTAAACTGTAAACTGTCTATAGATACCTCCGCCCATACACACTGTTATTATGTGTTACTATGTTATAATTTGTTTCACATGAGTTATGTGCTCTAAATCCCTTATAAGATTTTCCACCCTGAAATACTTGAAATCACCAAGAAACAGTGAGTATTTGTTCATATTTTTAACATGAAAATTAAATCAAATTAATTCAATTTGAAGACAAACAAACAGGCCATATATAATATCTTGTAAAAGTCTTTCAAGCACTGGGGGCAGTGTGCTTCCAAGGGCAATGCACAAAACAAGTCTTTATAATGGCATGATTGTGAAGTATATCTGGCCTACTAGCCTAGTCTTCAGGTATCTCCAACATATGACTCACCTCTGAGCTGACCATCAGTTCGGGGACACTGTGCACCATGGAGACTGTTGCTGTGGAGATGGGAGTTTGCTGGTTCCCATTTGTGCCCTGCAGCCTGAGAAAAAAGGAAAAAAAAAAAAAGAGTGGGAGTCATGCATTTCGTCGTTTGTGTATCTCTTAGGCCCATGAACACACTGTGACTGAGAAGGAAAGCGACTTGCACAAACATGCAAATTAAAATTTCCTAGACTTAGCAGCCGTTACTGGTTTGATTTGTGCAAACGTCCGTAGTGGGCGCAGAAAATAGTCCCGTTAGCAAGTGACTTGGCTGACTGTTGGCAGTTCCAAGCTACTTCAGGCTCACATTTTCTGTCATCTACCAATACATAAAAGATGTTATCAAAGGGAAGGCAAAACTGTTCCCTGCTGTTTAATACTTCCACCAGGTACCCACATCATGTATCCACACTTTTCCCTCACAGTATAAATACAGGCGCTACAGTGTGTCTCTAATTCAATAAAATCTGAAATAGATTTAGCATGCCTTAGATTCTAACTGACAGCTGTAAATTTTACATCTCCATCAAACTGACACCAGGGACATTGCAGAGTGTAAGCACTTGATTTATGACCGGAGCTGTACTCAGCTCTCTCTGTATGATCTCTGGTGCCCCCTGATGGTATTAAGTAACACAGAATCCACCACAAATACTTAAGGTCAGATTACACAGGAATGTAACATTCTTACAAAGATCACTTATTAATCAGCTTGAAATTGTTTTGATCACTGAATGACTAAACTTTATATTGTTTTGCTAGGGGTGTTTGCAATTAGCTGTGAGGGTGTGTGAGGGAAAGTGTCAAACATATCACCCCAAGAACGAGCAGGAATATGAAAACATTCATGTTTCTGTTGTAGTGCAAGATAACGACTGTTTGTATTTCCTTACTGAGTCAAGTCTTGGCCACATTCAGCACATAAACCCTTCATTACTACTGGATGGCTGCATTCTTCTATTCTGACGATCACACCCCTGGAAAAAAAGGAGAACGTTAGTGTAAAATAAATACTACAAACCAGTAACAGTCCATTAGTTCCACCTTTATGTGGCGTGCAAGGCCTCATTGTGAATGAAGTTTATTAAAGGTTACATGTTTTAGCTCTTGTACACACATTAGCTGTGAGCTGCAAAAGTATATGTTAGCAGTTTGCTGGCAAAGGGTGGGTTAGTACTTAGACAACAAGTTGGAAAACAGTCAAATAAACCATATTTACAGTAATGAATTGTTTGGTGTAATACACTCAGTTGCTTTGCTTTGTAATCACTTTCGACACATGGTCCAGTTTGATATTATTCAGACTGAGGGCACTTTACTCTCACAACAAACAGCATGCACTTTCAAATTCAGTCAGGAGTTTACAAGGAACACCTGAAGGCAGCACGGTGCTCTCAGAGGCGTAGCGGCAAATCATTTACGCTCAACAATTGGCGCAATTAGGACAAATGGAACTAGTATCCCTAAATTGAAAAACACTTCTCCTGTTATTCTACAATTATAGTCGGGCAGACAGAAGCAGGCATAACAACGGCAGTCTCAGAAATCTCGGAGAAGAGCAGACTCGGTCCTCTACCTGTCAACCTGCACAGCTTATACACATTTCGCGCACGCGACGAACGGCTGTGTCAAGACAAACAAAACGAGGCAACACGTACCGCGATTTTGCCTTCAAAATAAAAGCGTAAACATATTTGGCCAGTAAGCATAATTGCACGTACAGCAAAAAGACAATTCAAGAAATCATATAATGTCTGTCTTAATTCTGTTTACAATTGGTTTTCATTTCCGCTATCATTGCAACGACTGAAAAAGTTCAGAAACAGATTATCTAAACGCATACACTTTTATTTTGAAAGTCTGGGCCAAAAGTCTGCCTGTTTACTTTGACTGACTTGACACTGATACGAACAAGTGCTGTGAGTGATGGTTTGAGTACGGCTAGCAAACAAGCTAATGTTAACTTAGCACATATCTATAGCAACGTTAGCCTGTTAGCTAGCTAACGTTACACTGCGGGTGAAGTCAGTAGCTGGCGAAGCGGTCCCAAAACTAAAGCTGACATGTTGCCTGTAGCCTTTCCAGGCAGGGGGCAGGTCACCAAACATTAGTTAGCTATAGCCAGCAGAGTGACTCACCCGGGAGGTATGACTTGTCCAAGTTGACAGCATAGCTCCTTGACTACTCCAGCTCGGTCCGATTTCACCTTCCTCTCTGGCAGCCGGGCAGCTTCTGCCCCTTTCTCCTGAGGTATGGGTGCACACAGTGCTAACACAGAGTCCACGTTAACAAGAGTCCCGGGTTTAACTCTCCACTCTAGAAGCCGTAGAGGGAGAGCTCCGGTCGGCCAGCGCATATCTGCCACCTGCACCGCGGGGCCCTCCGCTGCTGCACCGCCGCCACCGCCGCCAGAATCTGCAGGAGGATCCTCCATCTGCCCCGCACTCTCCAAAAAATCCCTTTAGTTTTCAGCAACGGTGCACTTAAAACGTATCCACTAGTCCTCGCAGTGCCCCGTGTATCATTAAAACGTGCGAGCCATCAGCATCAAGGAGAATTAAAACAAATGTGCTGCCGATTTAAACACAGTAGCTTCCACTGTCAGCTACGTTCGCTCTTCCCGCCCGTAAACAGGAAAGCGCAACACTGCAGCGACACGGGTCGCTACTGCATCCGGTAGCCCGAGCAGCCAGCTAGATGAGAAACACACATCTTCCATTACGGTTTCAAAATAAAATCCCCAATGAAATGTCAGTGCCATATGGTTTATTGAAACGTTTTAAGGACTACAGTTTCACAACATAGGTTATCTAATCATCACATTAAGTGTTGTCAGTGCTTGTTGTTATGAATATTACCTGTGTATCTTTCTTTTTGTGTGAGGAATTGTACAGCCTTTCTTTTGAAGGCCAACCCATGTTTCCGGTTTCGCCCGAGCTAAATCTTGCCGATTTGATATCGCTATTAATTCTGTACACTGACAGTAATACACTCCCGACAGGCACATACATACGTCTTTTTACAGTTGTAATACTGTATTAAAATTATAAACACAAATTCCAACAAAATGAATGAGTCTATAATGACTAAATCCATTCAAGCTACCATAAACCTTTCCTTGTTGTTTTGCTTTGCTACAACTTTCCGTAAAGGTTGAGATGAGTGGGACCACAGAGACCTGCCTGATGTAAGATGATGTAACATAAAAATAATACTATAGTAATGTCTCATGTGGCTCTTTTGGCGGTAACAGGCTTATTTTTGCATCTGAGCCTTCATTTACTGTTGTACCCAATCACCTCCCGGCTTATTAAAGGACATTTCTGTGGGTTGGACTCTCCGAACTGAAGCAAGGTTATAAAATATCTTAACTTCATACTGTATGGGTGACATTCATACGACAGCCGAGGTCACGTCATTTTAAATTGATTTCTGTGCTCTATTAGGCTACTATCAATAATGAAGTTTTTAAAACTTTTAAAACATAAAAATACAATAACAAGGGCATTCCTCGGACCACTGCGTATAATCAGTGACGTATCATTTCGGTACCTCCTATCAGAGAGTGCAGCATCAAGATACATCTGTCCACTGCGCATGTCCGACCACTGATAAATAACAGACCGCACTTAACACCACCTGCTGTGTTCTTAGCAACAGGTTGCACCTTCTAACATGGGCAGAGGGCATTTATCAGTACAGTAAAGGTGTAAGGCTCATGTTTCACACACAGTTGATTGGAGTTCTATTGCTAATTGTTTCTTCACTTGGTTCTCTGTGCTCACCTTAAATCTGAGATAAAGACATTTACATATGAGCATGATTTTGTTACAACACACCTACTTTAGGAGCCAATAATGGTTCAAAAGTGACCAGTGCACATACACTGATAATGGACTTTTCGGTGAAGTAGAGACATCTTGTGTCTACCAGTAAAACTTTTGAAATATTATATACAATATTTACATATTCATAAACTTTTCCAATCATTTCTAACTAGGTAACTAAAAGTAATTCTGTGTTTTTATATGTCTAAATGTATGGAGGAGCTCTCTAAATGATCACAAGAGAGAAAGTCAACACTGAAGCAGGATATAAATATTTCATTCATTTATCATATAAAGGCGGAATAATGACATAGTTCATTAACTGGTACCTTCATGGCTTTTTTAACCAGTAGTTAAAGTCAATCTTCTTTCTTTATTTCTAACATATATCCCGAAGTTACAATTTCCAAAGGAGGCTTCATTTGTTTTTATTAAATCGTTTTTAAGCACGCAATTAAAATGTATTGTAAATACAATCACCTCCTCTATTGTATATCTTTAAATGAATTGATTAATCTAATAATAACAAGTGAAAAACTGTGAATGCTACTGATAATTACGATGGCACACACGACCCTCCAGAGTGCCTGATCCCCGCAAACGAAAGCGGAAGTAGGCAGACGGGAGTGCATCCTCTCGCGCTGTCGTTCGTACTCTTCGGCACAACCAATAGTAGGCATGCTAGTGGGTAACGTTAGCTGCCGATTAATGAAGGAGGTGTCTTTCTTAACAGGAAGGACACTTTGGATAGTAATTGATTCATCACTGTGAGCCGCGGTGCTGTATTACCCCAGGCAACATGACAGGGGAGACGAACAGAGCGGTAAATAAACCATATTTCTGAATCATTTCCTAGCGCGGGTTGATAGTAGCGTTAGCTTAAGTTAGCCGGCTGACCAACAGCTACCAGCTCCGTTCATGTTTACTGTAGCTGGTCCTGTTAGCAACGGACACCAGCGGACTGCTGCAAGGCGTTTAAAGGGTTAAAGGAGTATTTTGTGTGAAAGACGAGCTGAACATGTGAGTGCTGTTGTTTGAAAGCCAAAGCAATATATTTGTCAAGGTTGCTCAGCTGTGTTTCACAATATTTCCATTCATTGTTGGCAGCTGCAACTCCGTTTAACCTGTGTCTGTCTGTACCACAGCAGCTTACTGTCCATTCATTGTGGTGATGGGAAACGCTGCTCATGCTGGCTCTGCTCGGTGTGTGAGTGACAGAGAGTTTGTTTGATATTTCAGTGCTCAGGTCCCTGACATCACTGCTATCTGTACATCAATGTGTCAGCACTGGAGACATTTTGTCCCTCAGATGCAGACAGCAAACGAAAACAACAAAGTGCCCCAGCTGGTCATATTGGCCTTGATCCTGTTTTGGCACACACACACACACACACACACACACACACACACACACACACACACACACACACACACACACACATATCCCCTTGCTGTCTGTTACTCAATACTCTATCTGGGCCTGTCTTGTGAGTCAAGCTTGATATTCACCAGATTAGTGATATCTGGCTCCTCAGAACTTTCAGAAGAAAGGTGGCTATCACTCTTACCAGGGTTTAGAGTAAAGGGCGTTGGCATGTTACAGGACTAATCGATTAATCAGTTAGCCAATCGATAGAACTAATTAATCAGGAACTATTTTAAGTGTCAAAGATGCCAAATTCCTGCATCTCAGTTGGGAGGATTTGCTGCTTTTCTCTGGTTTGTATCATCCATAAGTTTAATTTTATTCTAAACTCAATATCTTTGGCAGGGTGCAATGTTATTTTTGTTTTCATATTGCATTGCAATATTTTTTATTTTGTGTTCAGACCTCCAACCACTAGATATCAGTGCTGTAAATGTAAATCTCACTCTTGTGGTTGCATAGATTTCCTGAGATTCTCAGATGTTTTGCATATGGCGGCGTGTCCTTTATACAATGACAGTTTTGCTAATATATATATATAGTTATGGCACTTCAACAATGTATTTCAGAAACTTGACGTTCCTTTAAAAAACGACCCTGTTTTATCCGCCTTGCTGTCAAACTTGCAACATATTTGGCGTTTCGCCCACGTCCTCTTAACGCTCCGAACTAAACTCCCGTTTCCAGGATAAAATAAAGGATTTTCATACAGACGCAGCGATAATGTGAGTGGGAGTTATGGGAAAGGGATTGTTCACCAACAATTGCGTCCTCCAAACAATTGCAATTAATTTTTTCAAAATAGAAGAAGTGAAACAATGTCTCTGCTGACAGAAAGGAATAGCTATTGTACACGGGAGCATGAACTGTTTTATTGCCACCTGCTCATTATGGCACAGTTGGTCCGCTTTATACAATGGTGTAGTCACTTTGAGGTTGTAAAAATACTTTGTACTCACTTTTGTTAGAGCCACACTGATATTGTGTATCTGTTACACCACTCATGATTGTTAATCCATTCTTATTCTACTATTAATATTAATGCTTTTATAGCCCAATGACAACAACTGCTAAAGCTTTCAGGCTTTCCACATTCTTGAATTTGATATAGTGAACATGTCCTTAGTTCTGGTTTTAATTGCAGTGACGAATAAGCACTGTGAGATCCAAAGAGCTCAGGTTCAGTTTAACTTACAGTCCCAAACCTAGTAATTTTATGTTGATAGTCTGCTGATCTGTGTATTTCAAAGATGAGAGTCACCCTGTGCCTTTTTATTCTCTGCAGTTAAGGCTGTGTCTGCATCACATGGCTCTACTCCGAAGAATCCCACATCCTGGCTCCTCACTCCAACCAACCAGATCCTTCAGTTCACTCAGGTACCAAATAGCGGCTAACCCACAATCGCAGATTAACTTCTACACGCAATGATGTTGCTGTTTTGATGAACAGGACTGTTCCCTGCTTCCAGGGAAGGTAAGCGCAGAGGACTGTTATGGAAGACACTTGTTGGCATCTCTGTCGGTGTACCTGTGGCAGTGGGTGTCCACTATGCCATGTCAGCACCAAGAGAGAGAAGGAAGATAAGGATTGTGACTGAAGGATTTGGTCGCTTCTGCAGGTTTGTCTATATCTTCTGTCAGCAGATGTAACAAATCAATTCAGATGCTCAGCTCATAGCACCTGTGTTTCTCAGGAATTCCTTATTGAGATTTACTAAAGTTGAGTGATAAGTCCAAATTGATGAATAAATGTCAAAACATAGTGTAACAGTGGCCTGACTCAGTAATGTCAGTGACACTATTATAAGTTAGCTAATGTAGTTCAATTTTAAAAGTGTATTTTGTGAAATAGAAACCGAATCTATGGAACATTTGATGTTCTCTTAAAATGTATCCAATTTACTTTGGGAGGATTTTAACCATTGGCCATTGAGTAATATTAGATTCGGTTTTGTAATGGAGCACAGAAAATCGCCAAATACTTTTTACACAAATGCAGATCTCTAAAAACCACCCCATGTTTCACCACATTTTTGAAAGAGTTGTCTCTTTACTTAAATTCACTCAAATAAACGAGCTCAGTGGCCTCTCCAGAGCGGCCCACGGCTCTTCAGCCCCTCTCCAGTAGCTCCCTGTGGCTTTGACAATCATTTATACGGCAATTACATTTTCATTTTCATTTATCATTGTGGTAGACCAAAAGTGATTCCAACGTTCTCCAATTGTAAAAATGCATAGCCAGTACACACAGAATAAAACAAATGTTGTAACATTTGCATCAAACATTACGTCCTGAGCTGGTGCCATTTCCTCTGTGTACTACTAGTAGCCACCTCAATAGCAGTAGCTACTAGTCTGAACTCTCCCTAGCTAGGCTAGCTATGGATCCCAAATCCAAAAGTAAGAA